ATGATACTAACCTTTCATTACCAATAGTAATAATTTGACCATCAGGCAATTCATACGACCTTTCTAAAGGAACAGAATCTAGCATATCATGTTCAAAGTCCAAAGAAACATGACAAAGTTTTTCTTTGACATCGTTAACAAGCTCACGTTCGGCGGTGGTGGAAAAAGAGTAACCACGTTCCATAAAAATTGTCATAAGATAATTGGTCAAATCATGACCAGCAAAATCAAGACGAATAATTCCATGGCGAAGAGCATAACACTCGTAAATTGGTACAGCGTGAGTAACACTATCACCAGAATCAAGCACAATACCCGTTGTACGACCACCAGCATACAATGCAAGAACAGCCTAGTTATTAAAATAATGATTTAAAAATTAATTTTTTTTTCTTGAGGACAGGAGGATGAGGAAGAAGAAGCAACATATTTTGTGTACATGAATGCAAGTTGAATGGATGGAGAATACTTACTTGAATTGCAACATAGAAAGCTGGAACATTGAAAGTTTCAAATATGACTTGAGTCATTTTTTCACGATTTGATTTAGGATTGAGGGGCGTTTCAGTTAATAGCACAGGGCGTTCTTCTGGAGCAACACAAAGTTGGTAATGGTGGATTATTAGCCATGACTTGATGCCAAGTCGAGTCAATTGTATGAAAAGTGTGCATATCATTAAAATATCGAACAGAAGTAGATCCAGTATAATGATCAGCTATTCCACCAAAAATACAGAAACTTCCTTCATCATCCATTATAACGCTACTTCCTCTACGATTGGCGGGAGCAATACCGAGTGTGTTTGGAGTACTCCAAGTTTTTGTAGTTAAATCATATGTATGAAACAAACTAAGGAAATTCTGTTTTTGAGAAATTGGATTTACCATCATTCCACCAAATATAAAAATTGTTGAATTATTTGGTCCACCAACTGCACCTACAGTGAAAGCAGTTCCTACAGGAATGTCTTTGTCATCTACCCATGGCACATTGTTAACATCAAACTCCTTAGTTAAATCCACATAAAATAATGAATTCGTTACAGTTACTAATGTTTGTTCTATATTTATACCTCCAACAATGTAAAGTTTATTATCAGTCACTACACTAGTAGTTGCATAACGTCCCACATCAGGAATTGAAAACACATTAGTATTAATAAATAACAAAATTATTAAATAAATTTTGTTATTTTTGAAGGTTAAATTCATTATTATTTTTATCAGTTAATTTTATTTAAGTGCTGCATTTTATCGAGAAATTTTATCTTTTTAAAAGAATTTTGAATTCTGTCTTTTATGGTCTAAAAAGGGTTAGCTTTACTGCTGCGGCATGTTCAAAAATTTCGCCGCAAGGACAAATTTATTTCATAATCAACAAAAATTATCCAATCCTATATAATAGTGATGTTAGCCGGGTTAAGAAATTTATCGGCTTAGCTGGCTAAGGAATTTTTAAATGGCTTAGCCGGTTAAAAAAAAATTTTTTTTATGTCTGGAATTTTAATGCAAAACTCGGTGGGAATAGACATTTAATTGATATTAATATGTGCCCACATCATAGTTTTTATTTGTAATACAAATTCTTATTTACTATTATTATTTATTCGTTTTATCCAAGCTGTTCGTTCTACAGTGCGGATCATCTATACTCAAAAGTTAAAAATTTTGAAATATTATGTGATCCACACATTGGATTTTAAAAAAC